AGGGCGGGACTGCCGGGTCCGCCGCGCGGGCAGGAGTCCAGGGCCGCCCGGGCCGGCTCGCCGTGCTTCCCCTGTCTAACTGGAGAAGCAGAGCTCGGGATGCGGGCGCCCCGCAGCCCCTCTGGGTTCGGGCTGTGCCGCGGAGTGGACCAGCCTGTGCTTGGTTTGCCTGCTTTTCTGGAGGGTCGCAAAGCTGAAAGGACGGAGCTGTTGAGAGCTGGGAGCCTGTGAGGCTTACTAGGCAGCCTCTGTCCCTGTGTCCTTAAAGTGTGCCTGCGTATCGTGTGCCTAGCGCCAGCCTTCCTGATCACTGCGCCTTTTGTGCTGAATAATGTCTGCCAGAGGGCCAGGGCAGGCCGTCAGCTCGCAGCCTGACTTGGGTTTGGGGAGGGAGGGCCTGAGTCACGGCAGCCCTCACGGCTAGATTTAATCAGCCCACGCTGGATCATGTGTGAGGGAAATGGACTCAGGAAACAGCGGGGGAGGAGGAAAGATCCTTAGGATGCAAGACAACAGGGTTTCAGTCCAGGATGAGGCTGAGGTGGGTGACGCCACGTAGGGGAGAATGAAGCAACTCTTCAGGCTAGACTGGCAGAGGCTGTTACGTTTTGTTTGGTTCTATCGAGGGCAGGAACGTGAAGTGTACTTTACCATTGCTTTGCCTTGTGCAGTAAATTAAAATGAAAGCACCAGCTGGCCAAGCTTTTAAATGAAGGTGTAAATAAGATTTGAGATGACTCAGTGTGGTTATGCCTCTTCTCTTAGGAAACTGAAAAACAGAGTAGCAGCTCAGACTGCCAGAGATAGAAAGAAAGCCCGGATGAGTGAGCTGGAACAACAAGTGGTGGATTTGGAAGAAGAGGTAAAACTACTTAGAGACAAACTCTTACCCATTTTAGAACCCCCTTTGGTGAATGTTCTGGTATGAGCTGCTCACCCCCAGTTGTTTCAGCCTCTGAGTACAACTGAATATGTAACTAAGGGTTTAGTCTACATGTAGATAAGGGGTGATGGAAAAATACAGTAAATGTTTAAAGTTTTAAAAAATATTATAGGAGACACATTGCCACTAATCTCCCTCAGAATACGCCCTTTGAACATACTTCTCCCACTGTTCCAGCCATTGTCTTGGAGGAGTTCTGGAAGTCCTCTTCGAAGTAAATGGGCATTTGGGGGGAGGGTGGTAATCTTTTACTGTAATAAAATTTAAAATTTAAACATACACTGTATTTTTGATAGTTGGAAGTAGTGAAGTTTATTGAGAGTGGAAGTGATTGACCCTTGGCATTTGTACTTGATCTATTACAGTGTTTAACAGGGGCAGATAGGAAATCATTGCTTAAACTTTGAATTCTTGCTGGTGTGGACAAGTTCACTAAAGTTCCCCTTCTCTGGTATCTAATCTTAAGTTGCTGCTTATCTCACATCTTCAGTACTCAAAGATTATTTATATTGGTCTTTTGAACATATGAATCATTAGATGGTTCTTGTAAGAAAAGAGTCATTTTAGCAGCAATGAAAAAAAAAATACAGTTCACTGCTCTCACTTTTGTTGTTACATGCCAATTCAGGATATTTTAAAGTATCATACCTACATCAAAGCCCCACAGGTCGCCCTTTACTGAAGTCTATATGAGTAGTTGGAGGCATTGTGTCATTTTTGATACCATGAAATAGCACTTCTGAAATAGCTTTCTTTTTCTTTTCATAATTATGGTCTAGCCTTCTAAAACTTACTATGAACAACTGCTATAGATTTTCCCAGAAGTCCAAGGAGGAAAAAAATAGTAATAAAACTTCATCAAGGTAGATCCCTAACTGAAAGAATTAAGATGTTTTAATAGTCTCTTACTAACTTTTCCAGAACCAAAAGCTTCTGCTAGAAAATCAGCTTTTACGAGAGAAAACTCATGGCCTTGTAATTGAGAACCAGGAATTAAGGCTGCGCTTGGGGATGGATGCTCTGGTCACTGAAGAGGAGGCAGAGGCAGAGTCAGAAGCACAGGCCAAGGTAAATCATTTTGATTTGGTGTCATATTTGAGAATTGGTTCCAAATGGCATGATCCAGATTATGTTTGCTTACTGGGCCTCTGATCAAAAGCATTTTTGAGATTTTCTTAGTTTTATGACATTTCATGCAGACAGGGTATTTCTCTTTAGTAACATTTTCAAGTGTATAATGAATAGTACTAAGTCCTAATTAAGTTACATACCTCTCAGAACAAGTCCTAACAAATACTCATAGCTAGTGAGACGAACCATGCAAGCATCAAGGAGAGCCAGTCAAATCAGACTTTTGAGTGCTAAAAAAGACTATAGTCTTTTTTACCAGCTGTGGTGGTGCATAACTGTAATCCCAGTACTTGGGAGGGTGAGGAAGTAGGATAGCTGGGCGTTTGAGACCAGTCTTGGCTACATAGTGAGTTCAAGGCCAGCTTGAATACATAGCAAGCCCCGTCTCTCCTTGTCTCTGTCTATCTATAGTTTTTTGCTGAATATGAATGAATAGAAGATTCACTGTGGCAATGACTGTATGATAAGAGAAGGATGAAATACAGATTTTAGCTTGTGAATAATGGCAAATCCAATGCTTAAGTGGTCTGAAATAGGCAACAAAACAGTTTTACACAGTGAAGGTATTGTTCAGAAACACATTTTTAAAAAATTACTGTTCAAAAAGATTCTAGGATTTAGCATAGTAGAGCATACCTGTAACACAAGGTACTCATAAGATTGAGGTAGGAGGACTGTAAGTTTGAGCTCAGCCTGCGCAACTTAGACCCTGTCTCAAAATAAAATTTTAGAAAGGGATGGGGATGTAGCTCATTGTGAAGGTCCTGGGTTCAATCCCCAGCAAGGAGGAGGAGAAAAGAGAAATTACCAATATGCCTGAGTATGTGAAAAATGTTTAAAAATGTTTCAGTGCACAGAAAATCATAATGAAAAGCCTTGCCTTTCTCATTCCTTGAGGACTGAAGAAAACAAGAGTAGCTAGGGAAAGATTTCAGCTCTTAAGAATAACTTTAGCTTTCTTAAGAGCTGAGAATCACCACTGCCTAGTGAGCATTTTCTTGGAGAATTCACTTTGGTTTTTCTCTCAGGGGAGTGGAGTGAGGCTGGTGGCCGGGTCTGCTGAGTCCGCAGCACTCAGACTACGTGCACCTCTGCAGCAGGTGCAGGCCCAGTTGTCACCCCTCCAGAACATGTCCCCGTGGATTCTGATGGCATTGACTCTTCAGACTCTGAGGTAGGGATCATTCTAGTTTAATGAAGCACTGTATAACTCATTTGTTCCATTTATTTGGTATCTGACATGTCCAATCAGAAGACAAGACAAGCTAGTTTTTTTTAGTGGGGTTAGAGGTTAACATAAACCACTTTGCACTTCCCTGTTAATTTACAACATGGAGTGAAGTACAGATAAATGGGTCTGGTGGGTCTTGGGGTTATCTTATAGCCTAACAACCAGTTTACATCATGAACCTATTACTAAGAATTTCTCAGTGGACTCTCATATACCTTCTAATAGTGTACTGTGTTTCTTTTTTGCCTCTTGCAGTCTGATATACTGTTGGGCATTTTGGACAACTTGGACCCAGTCATGTTCTTCAAATGTCCTTCCCCAGAGTCTACCAGGCTGGAAGAGCTCCCAGAGATCTACCCAGGAGAACCTAGTTCCTTACCAGCCTCCCTTTCTCTTTCAATGGGGACGTCATCAGCCAAGCTGGAAGCCATTAATGAACTAATTCGTTTTGACCATGTATATACTAAGCCTCTAGTCTTAGAGATACCCTCTGAGACAGGGAGCCAACCTAATGTGGTAGTGAAAATTGAGGAAGCACCCCTCAGCCCCTCAGAGAATGATCACCCTGAACTGATTGTCTCGGTGAAGGAAGAACCTATAGAAGATGACTTCATTCCAGAGCTAGGTATCTCAAACCTGCTTTCCTCCAGCCACTGCCTGAAGCCATCTTCCTGCCTGCTGGATGCTTATAGTGACTGCGGATATGAGGGCTCTCCTTCCCCCTTCAGTGATATGTCCTCTCCGCTTAGTATAAATCATTCTTGGGAGGACACTTTTGCCAATGAACTTTTTCCCCAGCTGATTAGTGTCTAAGGAATAATCTAATACTGTTGCTCTTCTTCTTGATTATTACACGCTGGGAGGCTAGCAAAGCAGGCTTCCTGTGCGCTTCACTCAAAAAACTAAAGTAGAGGGGGTACAGTTCTAGAGTGTTTCTCTAAAGTATTTGCTCAAACCTCATAGATGACTTCAAGTATTGTCTTTTGACGAGAGCAGTCTGAGGTATCTAGATATATTACAGTAGCTCAGAACTACAGCTTTTGAGACTGTACTGAAAGGGGGTAGTTTTCTCCACAATATTTACATAGACTCATCTGAGATTTGTCAGAAAGTAAACATGGAATTTATGAATAGCCCTTTATTATTTCTCTTTCCTCTTGCTGGCATCCCAGGCTTGCCTCCGATTTTAGGCCTTTTAGTTTGCTTCTGCAAGCAAACCACCTGAGGGGGCACCTTTTCCCTCATCTACATTTCAAGTGAGGATTAAGAATTTTTCATAAAGTTATGGAAATTTACTATGTAAATGCTTGATAGAATTCTTTTTCTGCTAGTGAATCTTCTGAGAGGTGCTTTCTCCATTTATTTAAAACTACCCACGCAATTAAAAAGTGCAATGCAACATCCTTGTTTTTTTGACTCTTACAGGGCTGTGATTTTTTTCTCACTAGATGTTTCACCATTTGCTGTGGTAGTAATTTATCCAACCGAAGGGAGCATGGCACTTTAAAAGTAACTGAGGGCTTTTCCACCTTAATTACTACCTGTTATCAATTCCTGGTTGCCACAGTGCTATAATCCACAATCTGAACAGTAACTATGGTTCTGAGACAGTTTTTTTAAATCCTAATTTACCAGTATCAGAGTTAATAGCAGAACTAGAGCTCTAGCTACTGTTTTGTTATATCTTGTCTGATGACACTGAGGATTAAACACAAGTTCTACTCCACAGCTCCATCCCCAGCCTATTTAAAAGCCTACTGAGCAGCTGGGATTACCGGAAAGAGTCTTGCCATTATCATACAAATTAAGAAATTTTCTAGATTCAGACTCTGTGGTTTCAACTCTGCTACTGGTAAAACTAGGTAATCCTGTGGGGACAAATCACTTATTTCCTTAACTGTAAAGAGAAATAACAGTATCTCTGAGGCTTGTGAAGAAGAATCAAAGAGATGGTGCTTTATAAGCAGTTCATATGCCAGGTGTGGTGGCACATGCCTGTAATCCCAGCACTTGGGAGGCTGAGGCTGAAGGATTGCCGCAAGGCCAGCCTGAATGAACTACACAGCTGACTTTATCTCAAAAACAAAATAAAACAAACAACCAAAAAAAACCCCATTTCATATGTGCCAGGTAACATATTAAACCCTTGAAAGTCAGGCTTTTAATCTCTTACAGAATTGTTTCCTCATAAGTTTTTTTTCCCAATGTATAAATTATTTAGGAAAAAAATTATAGACATATTAACACCCAAACTATAGGAACTTGATAATATACTTCATTTTGGGTTTTTTTGGAATGGTCTTACAAAATAGTAAAGGACTTTTCTCATTTATAGAAATTTATTTTACTTTAGGAGATGAAATCATTCTATGCCCATTTAGCATTTAAATGATACATACTTCTGAAGAGGTTAAAGTGGACGAAAATATAAGTGAAGGAAGGGATTAGAGAATTCTAAGCATCCAGGCAAAGCAGGCCACAGCTTGCAGACAAGTGTAGGGGAACATGTTGGTTGTGATAACTGAAGTTTGTCCACAAGCATACTTTGTAGGCAACTTGTGCTAAAAGCTTATTGCAAAAGCTAGAGCCCAATCTTAGACCTCAGCTACACAAGCTTTCTTGGGCTGTATTTCTGTATTATGTTAGGACCGCCTCTAGTCCTCATGATTGAAAACTACTTATTTTGCCTGATTCACTGAAAACTTTAGAGCCAAAAATCTATTTAGGGATTATATAGACAGATGTAGAGATGCACTTTTTGGTCTCTACTGTAACAGCACAAGCATCTGGACATTGAGGCTTAAGCCATTTACATTCAGTGACATCACATGAAACAGGCAGCTGTACCAACAGGATAGGCTATATATAACTTACGGAGATGAGGGTTTTCATTTCCTGCACAGATGGGTAAAAAATACTAATCACTGTGTTCAGCCTTGACAAAACACCTGATACTCAAGGACATTTTCATACTGAAACACAAAACTGAACAGTTAGAACTAAAAAGATCTTTTCACAAAACCAAAGCAATCTCCATCAAATTAAAGGACTGTCCCATAATTGAGATTAAAGAGGGCAGTAACAAGATGCATGCAAACCACTTTTCTGGATTTAATAATGGATACAGTCTGTCTCCTTGCTTTTGTCCTAGATGTGCTCCTGGGGCTGAGACAAAGCAGGAACACAATGGTAGGCTGGAGGTAATACTGCCTCCTCTATAAGTATTTTAAAGTATCACATATTCTAGCTTCCTAAGAATTTAATCTTTACCCTTATGACTTCTAAAGTTCATCAAGAGGTAGGAAGACTGGCTTACCCACCAAACAGATGCTGAAAGTCAGTATCACTTTTTTTTGAAGTGGGGTTCAGTACTAAGAATTGAACCAAGGGCTTCTGCACTGAGCTACATGCTCAGCCTTTTTTAAAAAAATTTTGATATAGGATCTTACTAAATTGCCCAGACCGGGCTCAAACTTGTGATCCTCTTGCCTCAGCCTCCCCAGTGCTGGGATTACAGGCGCGCATACCACCATGCTTGGCTGAACACTCATTTTAACTGTGTCTACTTCATTTCTAAAATACCATGGGGCCAGATGTGGTGGCACATGCCTATAATTCCAGCACTGGGGAGGCCAGAGCAGGAGCATCCCTGAGTTAAAGGCCAGCTTAGGTTATATAGTTAGAACCTGTTGGAAAAAACAAAAAAATGCTACTGGTAGACTGAAGAACTAGAGAAGGCACACAGCTAAAATGTTTGAATCAAACATGTAAAATTGTTTTCTCAAGAAGCTTAATGTTACACAGCCCGAACCACTCTCTATTACCTCAGTGAGATTCTAGATGACAACATCACAAATGCTGCTACAAGAAGACTCTGTACAATCAATCAGCTACTCAAGTGTGAAGAACAGTGGACATGGTAAACTGGATTAGAATACTAAATTACCACGATCTACTCAGACTTTAATTTTCAAACCTATAAACTCAGTAACTTTTAGCTATAGATTTTCAATTTTTGGTTAAAAACAAAATACCCTTTGTTTTGTAACACCCCCTATCTTACTACTTAGAATCCACATTTTCCAAAAAATGACTTTAAATATTGCAAGCAATACTGCCACCCAGTGAGTGACCTATCAACTCTTCAGATGGGGGGAGGGGAGAACTATGTAACTAAATATCACAGAATTTTCTTATTCTCCATTTTAAAGGCCCCAGATCATTCTACGCAAACCATATAAACTATTTTCAACTCCACATTTGAACATTTTTGAAGATTCCATCATGACTGCCATCTAAATACTGACAGCAGTGAACTGCTCTCAATGGGAACCACTCAACAGGCTTTAGATCTGTTTCATTTATCTAAGTACAGGAATAAAAATACTTCCAGAAGTCCAAAACACTTAAATTTTATTGAAAATGATAAAATACAGAAACACCAGATTCTCATTTTAAAGTTAAACTGACAGCATCTCCCAGAACTTTCCTAGCACTGTACCCATTCTTGTCACTATTACAAAAAAAAGTTCCAAATCCAAAATAATAAAAGGACCTGCTGGTAAACATTTTTCCCACAGTTCTAAGCCCTACCCTAAGTACTTTCCTAAATTTTACATTTGTACCTTTTCAAGGATGGGTAGCATTTAAAAAAATGGTTAATATTTGCAAGAACTGGACTTACTTTCTTCATATTAATTAGAAACAAAAAAAAAAACCACACACACCCTACTCAAACTCAAAGAAAATACACATTTGTTCATTAAAGCTCACCTGCTTAGGCAATTTTTTCTCCTCACACATTAGTATATTAAGCCAATGTTTGATCCATGCTGCAAAAACTGTACAAAATGAAAAGACCTGTTAATTCCCCAGGGAAACCTAAAGGCAAAAACAAAAGCCTTATGATACAATTAAAAAAAAAAAAAAAAATCGGGACTGTGGAGACGGCTCAGATGAATAAGCACCACAAGGATGAAGAAAATTTTTGTATAAACATATGCCAGAATAGTCCAAAAAGGAGCATTAAACATTCACTTTCCTGCAGAAATAATGATCTTGTCAGATAACCCCTGAAACAAGTGGGGGATTTTGGATTGTAATAAACAGACTCCTAATTCTGTCCTTTATCCACTGTATCACAGTCTGGTTTTAGGACTCTCTTCCTTTTTATCATATAGATCTCGGATCAGAGGCCAACAATTTCTACAGAAGACAGAAGATAAGCTTAGTGTGCTATGGGTCTTTCTTTGGAAAGCTGCCATCTCTCTTTCCTCCATGACACTGGGACTAAATCCAAACTCTAGGCAGTCCCTTCATGTTCCAGAGCAGTACTAACTTTTTAGCACAAAGACTTTTTTAAGGCTTAAAAAATTTACAAGTTGGTCCCTTTAAGCAATGACCTCAAGGCAGTTTTTCAAATGGCATGAATCAAACACCTGCACATTTCAACAGAATACAGTTTACATTCATCTCTAAATCTGAGATTAAGAAACTATTAGCTGGTTTCCAACTGGATTCAATACTGGTTTGAAGTTTGAATAATTTTACTGTGTAGACATTAAATATTTTGTTTAAATATTAAACATTAAATCTTTTCCTGACTGTCCAGACAGAAATGGAAAAAGCAGAAACAATAGGCAAGAGAAGCAACAGTCCAATTAACAGACTTGTGACTTCTACAGCATCTGTAACAAGAGGAGGGATTTCAACATGGGTTTCACAATTGCCCAAAAGCTGGCTTCCCAAATATTCACCTCTACTTGGCATAAACCATTTTATTTTCCTACAAAAGGTATCTGACTCCTACAAAGGAAGAAGAAACCCAGAAAAAAAATGGGGTGGTCTCCTGTTGTATGATGAAAGGGCCAATATTAAACTCATTTAATAATATACTGGATGTTCTGTAGTGATAAAAGAATTGTCACTCCACCTTGTACTGTGAGTCCTTGACACATAGAAGATCTCTGCCTGAGAAATTAAAAAATTTTAATCCCAGTTATTCCCAAGACACCTTGAGCCTGGTTTAAGTATTGAAAAGATAGTCCTCCTAGTACGAAGCTATTCTTTACTAATTTTCAGGCTTACGGCACAATAGTGTAAGTACCAGACAAATTGGCTATTCCAGTAATCTCAATGTCACTTGCCTTATATTCTCAGTTAATCATGTTTTGAAATTAACACTTAAAAACAACTTGCTAACACAAGTACAGATGTTATAAATGTTGGATTTTGCTGATATAGCACTTTCTTAGGATTATTTAAAGAATGCTTCTCCCACAGGCAGTTTGCAGATGGGTTACCTCACAATCTTTATTCTAGCATTCAAAGTTAACTAAGCTGTAAACATTACTGAAAAACCAGGCTTATCAATTATGGTAGGGAGACCAACGAACAACAGTAGCACAAGGCAAAAAAGCCTTGAAGAAAAAAACCTTCTTTGTATTTTCGTTGCATTTCTGAGGATAGCCACAATGCTACTGGCTATTTTATCAATATGGCTATTTTGAACTGATAACTAATACATAAGTCTTATGGCCTCAGTTAAATTTCTTAGAAAGAGGCTTAAGCTACTGCTTTCTTCCCTTCTCCTTCCCAATCATACAATCACCACTATAAACAATTCAGTCTTAAGGTGTGATTCACAGGATACACTGGTAGTTAAGAGCATCCTTCTTTCTTAATCATCTTTTTCATCTCAAGAGTATTCTCCAAATTTATGAACAGCTTAAACACTGTGACAGATGACTTAAGTCACTCTTACATATGCTGCTTCTACATTTGCCTTTGAAAAGACTATAACCTAAAATTCCTTTAAGAAACCTGCTAGAAAACTGCTTTTCCCTTGAGACAAGCTTCCATGGCAAAAAGCTGACTTCAATATACGGCTACCCAACATGGGAGTCCCACTCCAAATCACAGGTGGATACATTATGACACCCGTTTCATAAAACTCTCAAGTGCCTACACTATGAATGTAGGCTCATTACTGAACATGACAGCCTTTTAAATTGTGACAAATTTAGCACAGAAACTGATTTCTAGAGTTCCATCTCTTCTTCTGTGTTAGCAGCTGTCTCCAAACTATTGTAAAGAGGCATCCCTGTTTGTGGAGGTTCCAAGTACAGTTCAGTTCTCTGTGGGAAGGCAGTGCCAGCAGCTGCTTGCTTACTTTGGCTTTCTCCCATGAAGTTTTTAGCATTAGATGATGGCTTTGGCTTATCAGAGAGGAGTTCAGGGAGAGGTTTCCAGAGCACAAGCTCCATGGAAGGACGGCTCCTAAGGGACAAAATACAGATTTTTATCAAGTAATTTAGGGCAGAAAAATAAAAACTCTAGAGCCCAGTGTGGTGGCACATGCCTGTAATCTCAACACTCGGGAGGCTGAGGCAAGAAGACTGCCTTGAGTTTGAGCCTAGGCTGGGCTACATAATGGAGTTCAAGGCCAGCCTGCATTACATAGTGAGACCCTGTCACAAAAAAATAAAAAATGAAATTCTATATGGACAAGCTAATGTTTGTTTCTAATATCTTACAACTGAAAACTAATGGCACCTAAACATGAGATTTAGAAAAATCCACATGGATTTTTGCAATACCAGATACTGTGCTGAACCCAGGACACTTGCAATGAACTGTATACCTAGCCTTTTGAGACAGGGTCTTAGTAAGTTGCCGGGCTGGTCTATAACTTTTGCTTCTCAGCCTCCCAGAGTGCTGGGATCACAGGCATGTGCCACTATACTAGGCTCCAAACTGATCCTTAAAAAGGCCATGGAGGCTAGGTATGATGGTACACGCCTGCAATCCCAGCACTCAGGAAGGATTCTGGGGCAAGAGGATAATCACGAGTTTGAGGCCAGCCTGGAGTACACAGTGATTTCAAGGCCAGCCTGAGCTCCACTGCCAGACTCTTTTCTCAAAAAACAAAACAAAAAGATCATTCAAATATGTAAAATTTATTTCACAGTTCTGTATCTTTTTTCCCCTCAGTGCTAGGGACTGAATCTAGGACAATACAAATGCTATAACTGCTGTGCCACTTGTACTGATACTCTGATCAGAAGCAATATAAACACCCTGTATTCTAGAGCCCTTGATTTGACTTAATGTTAAAACTTCTTTAATTAGTGTACGTGGGAAACTATTGTTTTCCCCTTTTGCAGTGCTGGGGATTGAACCTAGGGCTTCATGTGTAGTGGACAAACACACTGCCACTGAGCTATACCCTTAATCCTCCTCAAGTGACCTACACTAAATCATTATAAATGAAGATGAAACATAAAACCAATATAAAAATATCCTAAATGCCTTCTGCTTAATACAGTTATGAAGTATAATGCTTTACACATATGTAATCATATACTGTCCCTACTCCATGGTACTAAAAGTTTCTGAAATCTAAAGGCAAGTAAAGCAAAAATAAAACACAATAAATAATACCCTCAAAGGCGAGAGGATGGAAAACTACCAAGAGTAGGAAGTGCTATTTTTTTTTTTCCCAAGTGCCATGTTTTAAAAGCTTGAGGGCAATGTGACCTGGTAACTGTGCTATTTACCCACTGTTAGAGCTGGGTAGTTAATTATAAACTCAAGCTAGAGTACTAACACAAACTTCCACGATCTAACACCAAGAAGCAGTTGGATCACTAGCACAAATCACTTCCACTGTGCCTGAAGGTAGTAATGCCCTATCTCTTTGCCATCACCGGACTGGTGTCCTAAGAGACTTTTTCAGATATCTGAAGCTTACCCTCTGAATACCAAGGTAATCCAAAATCTTTTCTAGGTAATACCTAAATGGCACTAAAGCACTTACCTACTATTTATGCAGCAGACAATGACAAGTTGAAATTTTCTAGGCTCAGGGACTACAGGATTAGAGCTAATCATTAGTTCTTATACTAATGGGCCCCAAGTCACTTTGTTTTTTTAGGTTCTTCATATTTGCTTCCCACTTCAGTCGGGCACGGTGGCTTACGCCTGTAATCCCAGCACTCAGGAGGCTGAGGCAGGAGGATCGTTGTTTGAGACCAGCCTGGACTACAAAGTGTGCTCAAGGCCAGCCTGAAGCACATAGCAAGACCCTGTTTCAAAAAGACCAAACAAACAAACAAACAAAAAAATAACACCCCAGTTTTGTCCCTTACCCTCTCACTACAGTCACTATTCCCTACCAGGAGTTTGTCTTGCTTTCATTTGTCGTTTTTATTTCTACTCTGATAATCCAGGAAACCAGATAATTGAGTTCATTAAACTATGTTTTAAATTAAGAACAAAAGACCTCTGCTAAAGCCCCTGAGCCACTAAGCTATGAGCCAAGAATATGAGTTTTGGGTTTTGGCTTTTGTCATAACTATCATCAGGACATTTATTTTGTTTCCTTTTTTTAAGACAGGGTCTCACTACTCAATTCAGGCTGTCCTGAACTCACTGTGCAGTGCATGCTGGCCTTGAACTCCCAATGGTCCTTCTGCCTTTGCCTCCTGAGTACTGGGATTACAGGCATATGACAGCATGTCTGGCTGTTTCCTCGGTCTTAATGGTGCTTCTGGATAACGGAGAGAACCAGACAAACTAAAGGATTCAAAAATGTGGTTCCTGCCAAGCATGGTGGTACACGCCTATAATCCCAGCACTTGGGAGGCTGAGGCAGGGGGATCACCATGAGTTCCAGGCCAACCTGGGCTACATAATGAGTTCAGGGCCAGTCTGAACTACATAGAGAGACCTTGTCTCACAACAAAAACAAAAACACAAACAAAAACAAAAATAAAATAAAATAAAAATTTTTTTTAAAAAATTGTGGTTCCTCTACTCTCAAGGGGGTCACTTGCCAGTCCTCTTTTTCCTAAACATTAAACTGAAGTGCATTTTAGTACCTCAAAAGAACTAGAGAATAAGCAGGCAAGGCTGCCACCCTGTGTATGAAAAATTCCTGTTTACATAGCACTTTGCTCACCCTCCATGAACTAAGAAGAAGCCTGCCTCAACCTTGGCCAAACACAAAATCTTTCTTTCTTTTTTTTTTTTTTTTTTGGTTTTTCTCCGGTACTAGGAACCGAACTCACAACCTTGCGCTTGCCAGGCAGACGCTTTGCCACTGAGCTAAATCCCCAGCCCCCAAACACAAAATCTACTGACTGAGCTTTCCACTTGCCCGGTGATAAGGAGAGGAAGAGCTGCCCAAGACAAGATGGGTGATGGTTAACGTTACTGGGGTTTCCCTCCAAGATGATAACTGAATGGAAACATGGTAACAAAACTTACATAGATTCAATCATCTTCTTTGTAAAGACTTCACCAAATTCCTGCTTCAAACCTGTTTTCATGGTATCAGAAAGGACAAGGCTGGGGAGATGGTTAACATTTCTGTCAGCTTCAACTTCTTCATCTTCATCAATTATCCTAAAGGCAGCAGATGCAAAGAAAAAAATATTTAGTCAAACTATTATATATTCCTCTAGTAAATGGACAAAACTATACAACAGTTAAAATTAACAGGTGCGTAATAGTAAAACATCAAATGAAGCTATACCTCACAGGAAAACAATCATCAAATGAAGTTACTCTTTTCACTTGGGAGAAAAAAGTATTCACAGATTAGTTGTTCAACGTTTCATTTAATGAACAAGTTTTTCTGCCAGGCATGATTATGCAAGCCTATAATCCCAGCACTCAGAAGGCTGAGGCAGAGGACTGCTGCCAGCTCAAGGCCAGCCTGGGCTACATAGTGAGTTCAAGGCCATCCTGCACTACAAAGCAAGAATACGTCTTTAAAAAAAAAAAAAAAAAAAAAATTTTTAAAGCTGAATGTGGTGGTACATGCCTATAATCTTACCGCTCTTGGAAGCTGAGATAGGAGGGTTAAAAGTACAACACCTACCTGGTCAACTTTGTGAGACCCTCTCTCAAAATTCAAAGGGTTTGTGATGTAGCTCAGTTCGAAAGCCCTGGATTCATTCTCCAGGGAAAAAGCCAAAATAAAACCACCCAAACAATGGAATCAAATTTGAAAAACGTGTAATAGAGAACTATCTCATAAACCAAAATAATTATTCATAGATACTAGGTGAAAATGTTTAGTACAATTAGTTTCTATGAGAATTCACTTTAAAGAGGAACAGCAGCAAAACAGACACATGTGCTGTCCATCTACCTGTCCTCAATCTCCTGTAGCCTCCTTCGGGCAACTTCACACTGTGGTTCTCCAGTTGTCTGATCCATCTCTTCACAAATAGCATCTAACATGCCAGGTACAGAAAGCCCACTAGCACATGGATTTACTCTGCGACCTTCTCCGTCCTGATGTGTACAAAGAATCCAGTCATTAGGACCAGTACAGAGCTCCGCTTCAGTCAGTCTTTTCTTTCTTACTGGACAACTGGAAAAATAGAGAAAAGAAGTAAGGAAATTCAAGGAAAACATCAATTAACACCAAATTAAATGTATATCATCTTTATCTCTAATCAAATTCTTTTGTTTTGTTTTTTGAGACAGGTTTCTCACTGTGTAGTCCAGGCTGGGCTTGAACTCACTATGTAGCTCAGGTTGGCCTCGAAGTACTCAGCCTCCCAAGTGCCAGGATTACAAGTATGTGTCACTGTACCTGCCTCTCTAATCAAATTCTTATGTTTGGTGCCTCACACTTATAATCCCAATTCCTTGGGAGGCTGAGGCACAAGGATCACAAGTTTAATGCTAGCCTTGGTAACTTAGCAAGATATAGCCTCAAAAAAATTTTTTTAGAGGATCTGGAAAGAGTTCAATGGGAGAACATCTGCTCAGGATGTGTGCAACCCTGGGTTCTATAAAAAAAAACAAAAATAAAAACAAACCCAAAACTTTAACTTTTTTAAAAAATTTATTTGAAAAAGTAAAAGTGGAGAGTGAAGGAAAAACTTGCCCTGCAGACAGCGTTTGGTCTGAGTAGAAGAGGAAAATGCAAGATACAAGTACACCCTGGAGGATACAGGTGGGCTGTTGTGAGGCTATCCTGATGAAAGCCATGATAGCTGCCCTTAGCTTTTTTGTGCGTAAAATAATGGAGTAACATGCCTGTCATTCTCACAGATTCCCTGAGATATTTTCTTCTACTACTCTTTATCAACTTAGGCATCACCTACAAGATTTCACCTTTTTAGCCAGGTGCTGTGGCACACACCTGTAATCTCAGCACTTGGGAGGCTGAGGCAGGAGGATCACTGTGAGTTCAAGGCAAGCATAGGCTACATAGTGAGTTCAAGGCCAGCCTGAACAACATAGTGAGACCCTGTCTCAAAAAAAACAACAAAAAAAAAGACTTCATCTTTTTAGAATATTAATATTCAAGATGGAACTTAAACTACAAACGACAATGCACTGTCTGCTATATTTTGTCACATTGGTGGTGCTTCCCCATATACATGGGAATGTGGTCTGGCAGACGTCCTATATTCCCTTAGAGCAAAAATGTACGGCTTATCAGGTATGTTTCACATACTATAAGCACAAGTGATATCATGATCCCCCGCAGCCGATGTCAGGTCATTTGGCTTTCAGCCCCTGAACAGTAACAGGGTTCACTCTTACTCTGTAACATACTATCTCTATTTCCTGGGCAAATATTTAGAATCCTTAGAATTAACCAAATAGAATTAATCAAATACAACTTTTTTTTTTTTTTTGCTTTGAACTTACTATGAAGCCCAGGCTAGCCTCAAACCCTCAGCAATTGTCCTCCCTTAGCCTCCTGAATGCTAGAATTACTGGCGTGTGCCACCATGACCAGCCAAATTACAACTTCTTCATGAATGTGATGATTATGTATACCTAAAATGTACCAATAAAATCTAATTTAAAAAAATACAACTTTTTTCTTTCTTGTTTTTAGACAGGGTCTTACTACATATTCCAGGCTGGCCTCCTGTTTAATCCTCCTGAGTGCTGGGGTACAGATGCCTGGCTACCAACTTTTTTGGTAGTGCCAAGTGGGAGACAACCACCCTACTCTCTCCTGACAAACAAAGCCCTTGCTACAACCTGTCCCTGACCTCTCCTTCACCCAACTTACTGAGATATGTAGAGCTGGCTATATTGAAACAAATGCTCCTGGCAGTAAAGCTGCCAGCCTTGCACACAACAAAACTATCAGTGCATTGCTAATTAAGAGGCCTTTGTGCCTGATATGGCTACAAAGTTTCTCTTTCCTATGCACTCTGCTTCCACCATCACCCACCTCCCTGACTGATATCAATAAAAGCCATGAGTTTCTGGAGACAAGGCCTTTTGACCACAGGGTTTGACCCAGGTGGGTTAGACTGATATCCTCATCAGGGGTTTCAGTAGTGCCAGAGACTGAACCCACGGCCTTGTGCATGCTAGGCCAAGTACTCTACCACCAAGCTACACATCAGACCCCTTCAGCCATTTTCTTTTTTAGGTTTGAAAAGAAACTAGGACCTCAAAAAGTTACACTGGCCTCTCCAAAGTCACACAGTAAAGTACTGAACTGCACACTGGGGACGAGGCCCCAGAGCTCTTAAGTCTCATTTCTATGCCATTTTCACTAAATCCTCCTGCTTTTTTAAATATTCAACTGTTCAAGTGCTTACCATGAATTAGTATCTGCAAGCACTACGACATTAGTGTTTTAGCTGGAAGTTGTCTCAGGCAAGTAAAATAGACAACTAGCCCTATTCTTTTTAAGTATTTAAATGAAAAGTACCTTTGCATGAGCATTAGCAAGTCCAATCTTAAGACAAAATACACTTCCGTAACCCAAACAACAACAACAAAACATTAATGGATGCCAACAGCTTCTGATTTGCTAAACCTAGGGTCAAAGGAAGCAGGATGTATTTTACAAGGGGAAGTTTCTGTTTCATGTTAAGATTGTGGAAATTAGGGCTGGGTGTTGTGGTGCATGCCTGTAATCTCAGTGCTTGGGAGGCTGAGGCTGGAGACCAGCTGCCATTTTGAGACCAGCCTGGGCTACAAACTGAGCTCAAGGATGGCCTGAACTGCATAGCGAGACCCTGTCTCAAATAGACACACACACAAAAAGTAAAAGATTGTAGAAATTAACATTCAAGTTCCTGGCAATATAAACTCTCACAAATAATAATGCTTTCTTGATTATACAATTTTAAAAATCAGAATGTACTACTAAATGTTTAGCAAGTATTAAGAATGTCTATGCCACATGTGGTGGTGCCTGCCTATAATCCCAGCATGTGGGAGGCAGAGGCAGGAGGATCACCATGAGTTTGAGGCCAGCCTGGGCTACAAAGCGAGACCCTGTCGCAAAAAACCAAAAATGTCTATTTATGAAAGTAAACAATGTTCTGGAAAGCAGAAAGTTATACATGATGGTATAAAAAATATAGTGAATGTTTAATTTTCTAAAAATTTATTATAGAAAAAGACACAATGTCATCAGCCCCTCCCAAACACCCCCTGGCTTTGAACACACTTATCCCACCATCTTGCCACTTTCTGAAGCAGTTCTGAAGTCTTCTTTCATGTCTTTAGTTGCCCTGTGTGGCTCCCACAATATAGTATCTGTTTTCAAAATGCTTACCTTTCACGGTCATTTTGACTTTGGGAAGAGCCAGAAGCAGCAGAGTGCCAGATCTGGTGAATAAAATGAATGAGGAACACATCATAATGTTTTTATGAGGTTGCCTTTTCAATGGATGGCACAACAAGAGCAGTATTTTTTAATGACACCACCTAGA